TGTGAAATGAAACTTCCAATGAATGGAGAAAATTTAAAAGAACAGTAGTCTGTCGTTAAGAGAAGGGAGAATGTGTGATCCTAGCTGCAGAATAATTTTGGTTTCGGTGGTCTTTCTGATGTATGAGTTCGGAAAACTGTCTTTGAGAACACAGACGGAGAGATTAGAGTGGTCTTCACTTGGAGAAACAGGAAGGAGACTCGGAGACTGCTTCAGAGAACACGTCAGGGCTGTGAAGATTAAAGATCTCTCCAAGCCCATTGTTTCTCATTTCACCTCTGACGGCCACGACCACTCTAATCTCTCCGCCTACACATGCTGACGCAGCTACCCACCTGAACTACATTAATTTGAAATGTTTTGTATTACACTTGTGCTATTGTACAGCACTTTTATTTTCTTAAAAGGCACTTACAAATAAAATCATGTTATTCTGTTGATGATAATAATAGTGATCAGGAAGCTTCTGGAGATTACGATTCATTTATTAGGATATATCCCCAGATTCATTCCATCCACTTTATACATTGAACTGTAACTTTGTCACAGTTACTCACATCTATTGTTAATATTTTATGTACTGTATGTCACCTTGACTAAAGGCATTATCTTAATACCATTAATGCTGATTTCTGTCACATTGGTACACAGGTACAGTATGTGAACTAACACCTAGCTCACAAGTCCACATACAATTAGTAACACGATATAATAATCATGCAGTAAAGAACTGCGGCACTGTGCAAATTTACACAATCCGTTACTTCCCTTCGTCCGGGCCATTGCCATGGATCAGGAGAAACACATTTCACCACACAGAAGATTTTTTTTTGAAAGGTGGAAAAAGGCTGGTGGACAATATGAATACGCAATGTGTTCAGAAATTGCGAATGCCCTCTCGCTATTGCTACATGTAACAGTCGTTTTTAAAACAAAATTCAATCCAGAGGAGTAATGCCAAGCAAAACCACATTGCTGTTCAGCATCTCACGTCACTTTTCTTCAGTACCTAGACAGGCAAAATAAAATAACCTCCATACAGTATATGTCATTTAGTCGCACAATCTGTTAATGCTATGTCAAATGTCACAATTGGACACACTACTGTTCAGTATGTCCACATGATCCCATTTATTGCTATCTGATCATTCTGGGTGTGCACTGACTTTGACATGTTCACCAAGAAGTCACCAAAGAACTGCTCTCAGCACATCTGCTGTATATGCTCAGTAATATTTCAAATACCATTTTTGTGTTTGTGTGTGAAATCCTGCTTAGTTACATTGAACATTCATCATTTAAAAATACAAAGTGTTTCTACTTATACCAAGTGAACATTTAAACATTGAAGTTTAAAATTAAAAACTACCATTACATCTGCATTATTTAACTATACAGACAAATCCTATTCTGATTACACTACAACCATGCACACACTGCTTGAGAGTGGACAGTGTTTGGGACACTTGAAAAATCATTTACACATCAAAGCATAGTTGACGACTATAGGCTTTGCATGAAAAGCGCTCAGGCTTGAGCATGAAATGACAGCTAAGGATTAAAATTTAAATCAAATTCCCCTGGGCGATCTATGCTGTAGCAACATAGCATTAATACATACAGTATGATAAAAGGATTCACTGCTGACACTATATCAGTGTCACACTTCTGAAAGACTGAGGAATCTACAGGCTATCACAGGCTAGTAGCTACAATGGACAGCATGGGTGTGGAATACTATTTGGATTGAAAGCACAATCCCTAAACTTATATTTAGCTAACCGATTTGAACTCTAGTTTACAATATCCAGAAAGGCAGAATACAACACTGATATTTCCATTGTTTTTTTCCAGTCCCAGTATACCTTTGATGAAACTACAGAAAATGCTGCCTTAATTGTGCATTTAAGCATTTTTATTCTATTAAATAAGATACACATATGGATTGATCAGACCTCCTTCCCAACTCTTTTTCTGGGCAAGTAATTAGGTTTACTATGATGTAATTTTAATCTTTCAGACTTACATACTATTATCATTAATCAGATATAACTACAGTAGGCCACTAGGTTGTCTAGTGGTTAAGAAAACAAGATTAAAAGCAGATGACTCCTGTTTCACATTCTGGGTCTGCCACTTTTGTATTATGCTAAGCAAGTTCTGCTCTTTGGAGAAATAAAAGTGAGGTCCTATGTGATTCAACAGCAGCAATCACTGGCACAATGTCCACCTAATAACAGATCTCGTTAACTGCCTTGGGAAAAAACATCTCTAATGTTAAATGATTGATCTACAGTATTTTACAATTCACACAGAATATCTAAACAACTGCCTTTAATGACAGAACATTTAAAATATCAAAATCTCCCCCTGGCAGGTAACCTAAGGTCCAAAAGGCAATTGGATGATATATATTTATAATGCAGATCTCAAAAAACAAACCACCTACAAACCATAAAAGGAAAAAGCCATTTAGAAGTTGTTAAGCCACTAAATCACAGAATGTGTATTACATCTGTTAAAAATGCATGGAACTTAAAATAAAACCCTTAATTGTCTGCTTTATTACTTGTAGGAAAATCAATAAGATAATGTGTGGTGCCATTAAACAGAAATATGTATATCTGGGCCACCAACATTTAAAAGTCTATTTTAATTTGGTAACAATATGCTCAGTTAATTGCAGAGACAAAGTAGTCAGTAATGTCTTCCATTACCATGCCTGCATTAGTCAATAGGATATAAATTGCTGGTAGTGACAAGAAGTATCCACATGGAAAAAATATATTACAGATTTTAATAACCTTTGCCAAATAAATGAAACTCTTTATAACAGAAACTAATAAAAGGAAAGTAAGTTATGCATATTGAAGTGATTTTATTTTTGCAGGGGTTTAACAATACAGAGTATGGGGTATACTGCACTAATTACCACTTCACCAGAATGGCTGTAAAGTAAATCAGACTACAAAATTTAGTATCCTATTCCCAACAGGCCACAATCTAATGGACTCAGTAATGCAACGAAATCCTTATCTTTCAAAGTGATGCCCATCTGGAACACTGCTTAATGACATTTACGGTGTCCCGGACTCAGCAGCACATGAAATGGCCTTTGAAGAAGTCTCAACTGGATTGTTAATAAGACCACTCCATCGAATGTGGATGACGAGCTCAGGCTATTAAGGAGAACATAAGCTTTCCTGAGGGAACCGTGAAGTTCATTTTCTTCGGGCCCCCTGCTGCAACTGTAATTAATAAATGAAAAATGCTTACTGGAGCAAAGAAATAGTTGGGATAAATCTCAGTGTGCCAGGTCATATGGTGAGATGCAAATTTGTATATCTACCCCACTCCCGCCTGCAAAAGATGGCCACAGATGATTAAACACTGAAACTTCCGCTATCAAGCTCAATGCTAACTCAGATCACATTGAAAATGAGTTTGGTGGCCTCCAGAAGATGTCAGATAAAATTTCAGAAGTGCTACATAGTTGGAAGAGCACATTGGTTACAAAAATGGTCAGGTATGTGGGAAGGGCATGGAAGTCGTACTGCAGTTGCACTAAACCTGAACTGGCAGGAACATGATGAGGGCATCAGCAGTATTTCCGTTTGTGTTGGAACTCCAATGTAGAAATGTTAAGCACCCCCGTTTCTGGAGTTATCGGTTTTTATGCATTAATTTGCACAAATATGGTCAACGGTGAAACATATGGTATGAATGTAAAAGATACAAAGATGCAGACATGTAGACACCCAACAGAAAATTAAGCTCCAGGTCTTTAATGTAACAACATGTTTATGGTAATGCTCTTAATTTGAGCTCAAAAGAAAAAAATCCAGGCCATATCCTTCTTCAACTAGTAATGTGATGAACTAGCACTAGTTTTGACTGTGGATAATTCAGTTGAAGCTTTACATAAATAGGAGGCGATATAGCAAGGGAGTTTCCTCTGTCAAGGCCCGAAGTTCTTCTCTGTCATAAACAGGATGCTAGGCTGATAAAAGTGCTTGTGATGTAATTTCGCCTGGTGAATGTCTGTCTTACAGTGTCACCAGCCATACTTTCCCACCATTTATGTTCTTGTTCTAACTTGTCCCCTCTGCCCTGAGGAAACGTAACACTTAAAGACACCCCAAGAGGGATGGATATAAAAGCAGTAAGCAAATGTGAATGTCTTACCTTCTGGAGTATTGGGCTTGCATAGAAGCCTTCAACCTTGCGCTGGCTGACCTCTCCTATGTATTTATACTGGTGTATCTGAGCTGTTACATTAACCATAAGGGAGAGAGGTGTACTGTTCAGGCTCCTGCACTCGTGCACCTTAGCAACTTCATGGCTTGATGGAGAGACAGTGTATCGAAGAATCAGTCCCATTATTAAACCTTTAAAAGAATAAACAATGGAATAAAAACATGAACCAACTTCTATTTCCTTTAAAGAAGAAATCAAAAGGCAATCTAAACATACATTTTTATAACAGTCAATGAGTATGCAGGACACTACAATTTCCATTATAATTTGTAATATAATATCATAGTTAGATTAATATACATTTTCCAAAGATACAGAAAATAGATAAATATATCAGGTAGAAGTGCATTAAGTATCAGAAAGAGAATAAATGTTGCACATTCCTCACTGAGGAAGTGAATGCTATTTTGTTCAGGAAAAAAAAGACAGACAAGGTAATTGTATACTAAAAGCTTTTAAAAACTAATGTTTGAAAATTATGGTTTTGTTCAAAAGAGAACACTGTATTTCATCCCACGAAGATTTATATCTGAGATAAAAGAAGATTACTCAGAGTACTCAGAGTCTAGAACACAGGTGATGTGTAACAGTATAATTTGCTACTGGACTTCATTGTACTGTACATATCACACTGAGCAGACTGTGGGGGAATACAGCAAAAGTCGTTGTCTGAAGCACTGAAGAAACTTTAGGATCACTGAGTCTATCATTATGTATTTCATTCCCTCCAAAATGAACTGCTTCACACTGATCTAGGCTCTGCTGGCACACAGACAAGCCTATGATTTCCATTATTTCAGTGAGTGAAAGACTCATGTAATTTTCCTCTGCCATATAAAAGGAGGCAGGCAGATGCAGGGGATAATGGAAGTTAATACTGATGAAATGGCATTTTGATTTCCCTATGGGAGAATCATCTACAGGTCTGAATGTTCACGCAAGGCCTAGCAAATTACAGCTTCCATTAGCACTCATAATATATGTATCTTATAACAGCAATCACAGTAACAATCAGGGTAAAATACTACTTATGAAAAAAAAACTGTACTTGACTTTCATTTTTTTTTTATTTTCTGAAATTTTGGAAAAGCCAACCATCTCCTTTATAATTTGAAAAAAGTATATAAACCCAAATATACTTATAGAATATACAATACTATACAATCCTACAGCGGAGATGGGCAATGCCATTCTATAAGGTACCTCAGCTGCTTTACTGAATTAATTATTTGGCTAGGATGTTTTTTATGTCTTAATCATTTTAGGACTGCAGGCTTGCAGTATCCTGTCTGGAGACACCCACACCTGCTGTGCAATACATTTGCCTTAGAAAAGGCATTACTACTGATGCACAGAAATGTATTAAGACTTCTGAGACTTTTCTCTTACTAATAATTATACCCAGTAGTTTTGTCCATTATGATCCTGGGAACATGGAAAAAAAAACAATGAAAAGCTGCTTTCTCTTCAAAACTTTTTTTTCTTGTTTTTCATTCTTGAAAAATACCAAAAAATGTTTTGAAAAACAGAATGCCTTGCACCCTTGAAAGTAATACCTTGACCATGTAAGTAAATGGATATTATAAATGATTTACTTACTGTATTTCATATAGAAATACAGTTTTATACCATGCAGAAACATCAGCTTAACAGGCACCCAAAAAGAGGCTCAAGAAATCCTAGTGCATTACACTGTCCATTGTCATTACAGAATGACAAAGACACTCGCTGACCATTAGAAACATTTCAATTCATTCTTCTAAAATGAAACTATGATATTAATTTGTGACAGATGGCTAAAGTACTTTATTGTGATCATTGTACTAGCAATGCACACAGTGTTTTTAGGCCTCGGCCTCTTGGTGAGTTTATGACACCTGTACAGGATTTTTTTCAAAATTTAATTAATTCAAAACAAAATAAACAGACGAAATCCCATGAAAGTAAAAAATCGTTTAGTTACAAACATACTACCTTCATTCTAATTAAACACATTCAAATAAAATTAATCGTGTATCATGTTAAATAACAGTTGCAAACACAATGGAGAAATAGTTTTGAGAACTAGTAAACACTAGTTTCACTAGTTTTTAGTAAACACTTATCTGGAAGAATAAAGAACGACATTACTAAAAGCAAAGGCACCGTCAATAAATACACTAATACAATTTATTTTCAAGGGTACGAGTATTTCCTTTATATCTTACATACCTTTATACGTCATTAGTTGTACAGACGTGAACTTGAACAAGTGCAATTTTTAGTCTACTGAACGTTGAACATTACTTTGTAAAAAAACATCAAATGGCATAATTTGGAAGTCTGTAAATCGTATAAGATGCGAAGGACTTAACATAAATTGAATAAAAGACATCTACTTTTTAAATGTAATTAATCTTTCTGCATTACTTACCATAAAACATTGCTCCGCCAGTTTCGTGAAGAAACCTAACTTGACGTTGCCTAAATAACCACATCGTTAAAATTGTAAGTATCAGTAAGAAATTCAATGCAAGCAGTTCTGCGCTCTCTTGGCGATGACTTTTCTCTGTTATAATCATTTTGATACCCTTGGTGAGGAAAAAAAAAAGATGATCGACAAAAACAATTAAACAGTGCCGAACAATATAGTAGGAGGCAATACATCCGTATTTTGAGATAGACCCTGTCAATCAGACATATTGCATAAAGATGAACCAGGATGCAAGCACTCTGTTCGGATAAGCAAACCTGCACCATGCAGAGAGGCTGCAAAGGCTTCTGGTATCTGTAGTCCTTAGGGCTGCACTGTACTTTTTATGCAAAGATTCAAAACTACCATTCTCTGGGAAGTGTTCGTTAAAATTGTATTGATTTTTTTTTTATTCAGCGCCAGACCGGCTTCTGGAGAACCCTAACAGTGAGTTACAAAATAAATGCACTCCAACACTTCTATGCCCATGTTAAATATGACTTTATACAAATTTTACGGGGGAGGGAAACTGGGGAGGGGGCAGGGGGTTGTGCGCTAATCGTTCGAATAATACTACTGTTGAAAAAGATCAAATATCAGGCATAATAATAGTTGAAATGCCAAATACTGTAAAAATCTTGCAGAACTAAATGCAATCCTATTAACACAAAAAATTGTGCATAACTCTTTGCATGCGTAACTTTTTTTTTATCGTGGCACTCATTAATCCTAATATATTCTTAAAGTTACGAGCTATGGTCAAATTCAAAGACAGCTGGAAGTACTTGGGATATGCATCCAAAAGCAGGCTATAGAAAGCAGAAGCTAAATCTGTAACTGACTGGGTTATAAATAGGAAGTGAATCAATTTCCTCTTTCCAAAACTACAGTATGATGAGTCACGCAGGGTGAATAAATAACCCCTGTTTTAATTTGTTATAATCAAATCATTTAACTTCAGACACGTAGTGCAATACATAAACATCAACTGTATCAGTGCAATATTTACATGCATTAACCTGAAACTGCTGACCTTTTTATGTCTGCCTGCCTTTTTTGTATATATTTTAACAGCGTGTGCTTCTTAAAGCACAATGCTTACTAAATTAAATTAAATTCCCCTCTTCTCATAAAACAAAAGCAAAAACATAATTGAGGGCTGTGAAGCTTTGACTCCAGCACGGTAGCTGTCTAGCTGTCTGGAACAATGCAGTAATGTTGTGCTTACAGTGGAAATAAAATTAACGGTCAAATATACTTTTTTATGAAAGGATGACTTCAATTGATCTTTTTGTAGGTGGGGGTATTCTGATAAACTCACTAATATCTTAAGTGGATACACTGAAAATAGGACAGGTATACTGGATTTATAATTCTGAATCCTGTTTTTTTAAAATACCAATTGCATCCCGTTAGTTCTTATCAAGAAGTGCATTTAATTATGTAACGCTAAAACAGACTCCATTGGACATTCAATATTCTTTCAAAAAAGAGGCTCACAGATTCTGGCACTTGAAATGAACGCCTTTTTAATGTCTTTCTGCAGAAAAGGCTGTTGCTCAACTGTAGCACATGCCCTCTGGGCCTCCAGTATAGATTGGGTCTCCTCTATTTCTCAGTGCCTTTAAGGTGCCTTTTACTCTTGTTACACTTTTATATTTCTATCTCATCTGTCATCACCACACACTCATGACAAGCAGACCTCTGGCATTTCTGTCTCAAGAGCGTGCCTAATTAAAAATGCTCTAACTGACAGTAGGACCTTACAAATGCAACAGCAGAATAGCTCAGCTGAGAAGCACTGCACTGGTATATTTAGAAACTTGTAGTCCTTCATACATCACTGCTAGTTATTCTTGCCCTTAAGCGCTGGATGTTTTCAAGCTGTTAGGTGACATTACAGCAGATAGAGCAGATATCTGGCTTCATGCTGTTTGGGTTCTGTTTTTCAAGACCAAGAGCAAGAGGTCATCTGTGAATCTCTCCATTTCTGCTAATAGAAAAAGCAAAAACACTTAATCTTGCAAGAAAAAAAAGATTTAAATCAGTATTCAGAAGTTTGTAAAACTGAAGCAACTGCAAAATGGATCTTTGCTCCATTTTTAGGTCTCAGTTACAATTTCTTTTCACTTTATTCATTGGAAACATGCACTGGATTTCTAAAGTGAGAAACCGCCCACATACCCAGCATGGCAGACTTTGTCTGGAGGGAAGGTGGCCTTGATTACCACCTGTCATGCCCGCTGGCATTACTGTAGTCATTAAATTTCCATTACTTAGTCATCATATTCCTTCCCAATATCGGAACAGCCTACAGGTTTCTGTGCACAAGGCTGTACATTATGTGCCAAAATAAACACAATAAGAAATCAATGTGAAGAAATTGCCCAACGTTTCAATAGACTGCTCATAAAACATTTAATTTTCTATTTATATAAGTGATTTATATAAGTGATTTGGATTATATAGGCACAACAACACTGACCTTCTACTATTTGCATTGTATGTAGAAATCTAGAAGTGTGTTTTTTAGATGTGCTTTATAATTTATTGCAGCTGTTGTACGCGTTATCGTACACAGGGTGTGAGTCTGCCAATGTGCAGACTGGGAAAATGGCAGCAAAAACTCCTTGCTTTGGCCCACAGTATAAAAAAAATAGAGATCTGGACAATATGAATGCTTATTTAGTTCAGAAGCCACATGGCTGCAGTAACTATAACATTTACTGTGTGTTTCAAGTACAGTCATTCAATAAATAAGAATAAGCTTAAGCAGAAGTTCTGCTGTTGAGCACAAAGAAGTTGCACTCTTTAAGTCAAGGTGCACAATGTGACAAACGTGTATCGCTTTGAAGTTCAAAATTGTCTTTTACTGTTTCTAGTGAGTGCAAAAATGTGTGCTTTGTCCTGTTATCAAAGCTGTGGGAGGAGAACTAGGAGGATTTACAGTGACATTGCCATTGGAAATGAGTTCATTTGTTTACATTTCCCGAAGCCACTGAAATTTGCATGTTAATTCAAAAATATTTGAATCCGGTGCTTTTTCCTGTTCATTTTTAGATGCTTTCTGTCTTTGGTTTTAAGACCAAGCCTTATTATACAGGCTGACATTTTAGTGTATGTAGAATTAAGCCAGGTGAAGTCTGTATCAGTGATCCATTCATTTAATAAACTTTAAATGCTTTAAAATGTCAACTTGAAGTTGAGCTTTGAAGTTGGCAATATCATGTCCAGAATTCTGCAGCTCTAAAATTACTCTGTATCACCACATAACACTCATCCTCTTTGAATTGCACAGGCTTCCTGTTAAGTGTAGAGTGGACTTTAAAGTTCATTTGCTCACCTACAGCATGAGGCACTGAATAGTCCAGCTCCGGGCTATCTTAAGGACTTATTATAGGAGCTTAGTGCAGTTCTTAGTGAGAGATCTGCTGATTCATGCTTGGTCAACTCTACTGAAGACCAGGCTCACAGGCCACATGAATGAAGCATGAAGATGGCCAGAGATGGTCTTCTCATGCTCTGCACCTCATGTGTGGAATTCATTGCCCAAACAGATACCCTGCGACTGCTGATGTTTTTAAAATGTGCTTAAAGACCCATCTTTCCACATTCCACATCAGTGGTTTTCTTTATTTTTTACTTATATGTATTATTTGTGTACTGGTTTACAGCACTTTGAGTTTTCTTGAAAAGCTCGCAGAAATGAACTTACATTCATATTATTTTTAAACAGAATTTAGACATCATGTAATTGCCTCAATAAAGCACTTTAGTATGTTGTACTAATATACACTTATAAATACTTTTTCTTGGAATTATAATAACCAAAGAACCAGATAACCCACCTATATAACATGTATAGCAGAAAATGTAAGTATATATTGATTCTTCTAAATTTTAATCAGAATAGTCCAGGGAATGTTAAGATTTTACTTTCTTTATTCATTGTGATCATTTGTAATACACCAAGAGTACCACTAGAGGTCACTAAATGCCTATGCGTTAAAATGTTTTTTCATTTACCTAAGTATTTTGTACGAATTTAATTTACTTTTAGTTACAATTTAATGACTACCGCCTAAATAGTGACTAGACAGCTTACTAACAACTTAGATATCCTAATTGAATTGTGTCCTTTTTTGTGTTAGAAAATATTTTTTTTAAAGTATTAGGGGTATGACTCGTCCAATCAGTTGCAGAAACGTTTTTCAGTTTTTAAATTTTTGATACAACAAATATTCTTGGTTATTTTTTAAGAAGTGTGATTTCCACAGCCCAGAACTGTAAAAGACAAACTATAGAGCTAACAATACTGAGAGAAAATATAGTTCAGTGAAGAGAAAAGGTTCGGAGTGTGTTAATACACAAATACTTGGGGCAAGGCTTCCACTCTTGGAATTGCGAGAAAAAAATCCAATGGGACATTTTAATGTATTTCCTAACCCTTTAAGAAAGCAATTTTATTTTTTGTTCCAGACTTACATGCCTTTTATTGAAAATCACCTGCAGTACCATGCTTTAATGCAATACAAATACTCATGTTTACTTATGCAGCAGTGGTACTGCTTTATAGCCAGATCTGTACAGAAATGATCAATATCATTCCAGATTAATACTGGAATGGGAGATCACTTAGAAAAATTCAGGTTGCTGCTTCAAGTGGTGTTGGTGGACCAGTAGGTGGCGCTTTTTCCTGTAGATCAGAATTACAAAATCAAGTATGATAATAAGGGCCATGAGTTTTGTCCTTTAGATGAGGCATTCTAATTCTGAAGGGTCATTAATGATCCTATAGAACTTTTCAAAAGAGTAGAGGTGTTAAGCATGGTGTCCTCGATAAAGACTGCTCTGGCCTTGTACAGTCGGGCTCTCCTAGTTACCCCTTACTTCAACTGATGAAGCATTGTTGCCTTATAGCACCGGAGATGGGTTTAATTCCAGACCTTGGGTGCTATCTTTCTGGAATTTGTACTGTATATGTTCCCTGTGTTTGCGTGTTGCTTGGGTTTCTCCAGGTGCTCCGGTTTCCTCCCACAGTCCAAAGACAGACTGGTAGAGTATGGCCAGCAAGGCCAGAGTGGTCTTTATCAAGGACGCCAAGCTTAAGTGGCTTCTGGGAAAATTGGCCCTGGTGTGAGTGTGTGTGTTTGCGTCTGTGTTGCTGCTCCTACGATAGACTGGCTTCCCATTCTGCATGTATCCTGCCTTCTGCCCTTTGCTTGTCAGGACAGGCTCAGGTTCCCCTGCAACCCTGAATTGGAAGGAGTAGCTACAAAATGTTTGGATGGCTGATTGCTAAATCTGTTGTTAGTGGTTAGCTTTACCCTGCTGATGATGTGTTGTTGCAATAACAATCCTACTCAGTACAAGAGGGACCACAGGTTCAGACATTTCGTGTCTCTGCTTGGCTGAGGAGCCAATGGTGTGAAGCTGCCATCTGTGGGATTATAACTGAACACCTCTCAGTCAGATTCGGTCTGAAAAGTTTTTGGTGGATAATGGCTACCATGCATAACCCACTTCGGAGGTGGATGAAGAGGGTCTTATTCTATGTGTGAAGTACTTTGGGAGCCTCTGGGTTAATAAGTACTACATAAATACAGGTATTATTATTATTATTTTTAATAATAATGTACAATGCTTTTACTAAGGTGTTGCTGTGTTTTCTTATTTGTTTGTATGCTTTTTTGATCATGGAACAATAAAAATAAATTGTAGATAAAATACTGTTAGTAAAACAGTTTAATTTCCAGATATGACAATTGTATGCTTTTTAAAAATGAGCTCAAATAGTCAGTCAGCTCTAATAGTCAGTTCATGTTGGGTCTCAGGGTGATGACAACTTCAATGTGCCCAAAAAACCCTTTAAGTGAGATGTAAAGCCTGATCAAGTCATTTGTCTATCCATTACTAGAGTGGTCTTGTTTGAGTCAGTGTGACAGCTGATGTTTTTCAAAACGTGTTAGCTGAGGTGTTTTACTAATTGTTTAAGAAGTGTGGCCTTAAGAATAACTTTGACCAAAAAGTATTTTGGAACAACAATAAAAAAACTGATAGAGCGTTTCACTTTCCCTTGCTTCTGTCCTTTCTTTATAACTTTATCATATAATGTATGTTGTCTATGTTGCTTCTTTAGCTTTAATTTGTCAGGTTGACAAATAATTATTTTAACAGATTTATTTTTTGAACACTTAGAAAAGCAAAATAATTTTTTTAGAAGTGTTGCATTTCTCTTAGAGATTCATACAAATCCAATATACAGTGAAGTTGGGATATTATTATTATGTAAATGGTGTTTTAAACCCATCCAAGTATTGATAATACTAGGCAAATATCTAATCTTTCCTCAGCCAAAGCATTAATAAGACCTAATGGGTTTCTGAAGCACTACAAGCTATTGTTACAGATTCATACAAATCCAATATACAGTGAAGTTAGGATATTATTATTATGTAAATGGTGCTTTACACCCATCCGAGTATTGATAATACTAGGCAAATATCTAATCTTTCCTCAGTCAAAGCATTAATAAGACCTTTTCTGAAACACTACAATCTATAGTTTTACTTTAGACAGAAAATGATGAGCAGGAAAGTTTATTGGTCCTAATTTCTCTCTCTAACACTCTAAAATCAGATTTGCCTCAGGGTGCAATCTGACCAAATATTCATAGGTGACTTTCTAAATTGGGACATTACAATGTACAATACATTGTTTAGGGGATAGTTTTTTTATATAAGACAATAGCATCCATTTTGTTCGATAAGCTGTCCAACTTAGCTCTTAAATGCATGTGATTCTGGTCCAATTTCAGCTTCACACAAGAACACCATACTCCCATAGAATGTATTTGGGGAATGATATCTGATGTTAGCAAAACAAATTCCACTCTTCCCTTTGTCTTGTCTCAGCTCACTAGGTCAAGCTAACTTCTAAATGTTCCTTGGAAGTCTCCCCCAACCTTTTTGGCAAACAGTCCAAAAGAAACTTCCTCTTTCAGAATTCTTCTATACATAGTACAGTATGTGTTGGTTTGCACAATGAATACAAAAGTTTTGCCACTGTTGAATCAGCTATGCAGTGAAATAAGAATACACCACCTATTATTTATGATTAATATGAAGTTTAAAATTAATAATAATTGCTAATATTTGAAAATTAAAAGTGTGTTAATTTACAAGAGTATTCCTAAATAATTCCTCTAACACTCATGCATTACTATATACGGTCGCTCATACAGTACTGTATGTACGATATGTACGGACTACCTCAGTTAATATCGAATAAAGGTGTTGATAGCGTTACTTTAAGTCCCTGGTTTCAAGATTCGAAATCTTCATTGCTCAATCGGAAAAGACTCATGATAGAAAATAAACCGTTGATATACTGTAACTCGCAGGATTGTAAACGTACAGGCACTTATATTGTAATGATAAGGTTATGATATTGTCCAAAACAGTCATTAACCTTCTTTCCACTTCATGCAGGAATATCACAATATAGTTTCTGGCACCATCAGACTAAGAAACTGCCAATTATTTGTGCGTGGGTAGTTAGGGGCACCCGAGGTTCAACGACATTATGGAAAAAATCTTCTTTAGGAGATATTCCACATAGGATTTAACCTTTAAAGAGCTTTTCAGTAGCGATTTACCAACCAATGACCAGCCAATTTTACTGAGGGAGGAGGAGTTGTGCCTTAGCAACGGTAAACCGATCTCCTGGAAACCAGTAACGTAAAGGGGCAAGGAGGGTCGTAAATGCTAATCGTGTACTGTTGGAAAAGTCGGGATAGGATCCATTGTGGTGCTTGTGTGAGTCTGAGTGAGATAGGAGCAGAAACAAGCTATACCCGTAGAAGCAATACGAAATCGGAATAAAGAGGGGAAGCTGCAATGTGCGAAATAAGATCATCTATTAAAAAGGACAAAAGCGACTCATGGTAAACATTAATCAGAGGGAGAGTTAAGAAGCGACCTCAAAACCGTTTATTTCTTTACAAGCCAGCTGTTATCTGGAGGGATTTTTGAGTTTGTTTTCGCGAGTAACGCTGGGCATGCATATTATATCTACTTTAGTCCTTTTATTTTCGTCTTAAGTGCTCCAAGGTGTCAAGTCAAAATATTCAGCTGCAGTTTGGAGAATAAGCCTCGCGTTTGAGTGCTGATTTGAAACTACAGTACTTCTATATACAGCAGAGAGTCAAGAAAAGTCGAATGCAGGTTTGTTTTTACTATTTCTTTCATGCACTGATGCTAAGAACAATAATAATTGTGTAAACAGTACAACTTTCGTGCAAAGCAATGGAAAAGTAAAAACGTTTTAAGATATCGGTAAAAAGGCTAGATGTCTTTTGCACTGCACACCTCAGAATTTAGTTGAAACACGATATGCTTTGCTAGCGACCGTGACGAAATCAGAATGAACTGCTCACAGTATTGTTCTTGGGGGCGAAAAGTCTAAAACATATGTTGCAGAGCATGTTTGTTTCAATAAAAAAGACGATGAGTGATGTGGCTAGTTCTGTTCCAACTTCACAAACCCTTTATTAAAGTTCGGTTTTGCGTTGGAACAACGCTTCTCGAAAAGGACAAATCCTAGAAAAGGGGGAGAGGATGTTGCATTTGGGACTAGGTTAAAATACAGTAGCGAACATGCGAAGTGAAGTTAAACTAAAGTTGCCGTTCAGAATGATCAAAGCGGTAAATTCTCATCCTCCGCTGTTGGTTAATGCAGATTAGGTTTTGAAACGGAAGATTTTCGCTTTACAAAACAAAACGGGGTGCTCACGGAATTTGATATGAAAATGTTTTGTGAATTCACCCGGCAAATGAATGGACTACAGTTTAGTAAGAAGCAGCTTGAACTGGATTTGAATTCTAAAGTAGACTTAAATTTTGTTGTTTTCCTGAAAAGTCTTTGGGAACTTTGCCTATTTAAACCTGCTCTTACACATTTCGTTGTTTCCGAAGCTGAGATAATATTAGTTGATTTTGTTTGAATGGAAAATCGCATTTAGCGTGCGGGTATCACAGGCCTGCTGTTTTTTTGGTAATGATTCCTGTCCTTTGATGTAATGATTTACAGCGTGATGGTTTTAGACAAGGGTTTGTATATGCATGTGAAGACTTGAAGTTTTTTCAGCGTGCGTTGTACAGGTTGTTTTTCATCTGTGGGTGATATTGACAGATGGTGTTTTAACCATAACACTGAACGGAACAAACAGTTCTCTGTTTTGGTTTTATTTTGAAAACAATATGTGAGCAGTTTGGAAATAACATCCGCACAGTGTAACAGTTTCAGATTTCGCTCCATGGTTCTGAGAAGCTTAAAATATGAGGTAAGGGTAAGAAAAAAGTCAGCTATGCACTGAATCCAGGAAGGGACCCATGCCAGTAATTCCTCAACAAGGTGACAAATCCTGCCGTCCGCTTTAGGACAGATTTTTGATTCATGTTTGCCAGTTTGTGTTGGAAACTTTGTGACAGCTTGAGCCAGGCTACAGTTGCAATTAGCACTTCTGCGCCACATCATAACTTTACTCTGAAAAAGCGCGGGTTTTCCGCAGGGAAATGCACCTTCGCGAACTGTACCGAAGTTCATAGACAATTCAAGTCGTTTCTAAAGAATTGCACCGTGAAATATCGTTCCCTCGTCTCGAATAGGTTATTTGGATCAATTCAAGAACAAGAACTTGACTTTAAATTTAGTGCAGCTCCTACTTGAGTCTTTGTTCTTCCGTAACGCATAGAGGAATACTCGGAGCTCGAGTGCTTTTCTATACAAAACGAAAACATTTCTAATTATAATTATAAAAGAAAATTTATAAGCACAACAGAACAACCCCCCCCAAGAGTTTCTCTTAATGATCTGGATGGTATTTGTGGTACAAAATGGGGGCAGATGTCAGAAAAAATTCCATCACACTTTTGATTTCTTTTTTTAAAACTTGAGGAGTTTCTTATCTCTGTGTGCTACTGCATATTAACTCGAAGCGATGAATAAAACTGTTCTTTTGTATAGGAACGCCTGGTGAACCCTTTAAAAGGTTAAGAATGAAGCAGAAATTGTTTTTATTTCAGGCTTCATTAAATATCTTCCCATTATTAAAAAAAAAGTCTTCTTTGATTTTGAATGTGGTGCATACCATTTTCACCAGACAATCCAAGAATGAATGTTTCTGAAATATTTTTACAAGATGTCACAGAATTGCCTTGTGAAACAGTGCATATTACATTGTCAGAAGAGACAAGATTTACTTAGTGTAACCACTGCAAAGTAGTTCTATACTGTATTCCAATAAATCATTAAGATTCTAATAGAAATGTATGCCATTTTAATTATTTTCCAAGTTAGGAAGTATTGAATTGCTATAATTAGTATTGTTAGAAATAATTTGACAGTTTTAAAAAACATTTCCGGCACTTTGGGTAATTACTGGCAATTACTGAAGGGAAATATTTCTGGCAATAACTGATAAATGGAAAGTAAAGAAAACTTTAGATAACAGGTGTATTTTTTTAATTCTTTATATGAAACAAAAAAAAAACTGACCAATGTCCTGTCCATTGCCACTTTCAGTAGTGCTGCAAGTCATTTATAGAGTTATTTTATAAAGCATTATCGGAAAAGGTAAGTTAATGAGGATAAGTTAGAGACAGGACTGCCACATTTTAAGTTTGGTTCTTTTAGCTTAGGAATGATCTTAGAAATATTTTAGATGTCTTGTGTTTTAAAACCTGTTTCCAGACTTCTCAGTTGTTTCATGTACTATTGTTTATTTCTATCAGCTCCTGAACGTCCACAGTTTTGTGCCTAAGCTTGTGAAAGGGAGGGGCAAGACAAGAATCAATAAAACTTCACTGAGCAGTGGGTAAAATTAATTTTAAGCTTAATTTTGTACTTCTTAAAAGTTGCACGATTTTAATTTTTAATTTTATCATTGCAGCTGAATCAAATTGTAAGATATTGGGGCAGTGGTTTAATTCGCTCAGCTCCTCCCTTTGTAGATTCAGCTAATGTGCACGGCATAGAGTTAGAAAAATTTAATTTCGTAATTAAGGTTTGAATTGACTGATAATCTAGAAGCTGTGTGCTGCTTTTTTCGGTTTTTAAATAACATTGTCAATCAGATCCATGTATCTCTATCACAGCAAATGTTTGGAAAATCCTGTGAGATTCTTTAAATTTGAAAATACAGTGATAATGTTTTTATGCAATGCTTGAATCTGTTTATCCATTTACAGTACTTGGATGTGGTGTGTTTAGAAACGCATATACCGTAGACATCCCTATCAACAATAATTCAAAGCACTGCAGTCAATTTTTGAAAAATGCTGGATGTTTTCAGCTATTCAGCATTTTATTTTTAATATATGGTTTTGCCAATTAGGCATGCTTGTGAGTTACAGGTCTGTTCTTTGTATTCTCTACCTACAGTATCTGCCTATCTCCTTGGCATTCATTTAGTTATCATTTTTTGTTGTTTGTTCTATTCTATGTATTGCTCTTGTGCGTTTTAGGAAAACAGGGCCGTTTGCAAGAGAGAGACTGAAATGATGGGTACAGTACATGTATCATCTACACTGAAAACTATCTATTTACTCGAATAAAGGAGCCAAAGTTGTGGAAATACTGGCTTTTTGGCCTTTAATATAAATCTTAGTGTTTTTGACTATTTGCTTTTTATTCGGCATGCTTTACATGTTATCACTGAGTCATTTTTTGTCATTTCCATCTGCTGGTTAAGTCCTACTGTAGTCTGTGTGGCCAGATGTTGATTTGGAAAATGTGTACTTCGAAGAAGCTTTCATGAACTAGTTTTTGCTCTGTTTTGTGGACAATGTGCAAGCATATGGTATGTTAAGCATGTTTAGGAACTGATTTGCACTTGGCAGATTTACTATGATGAAAATTGATTTGGCTCTTTCTTCAGAAACTGTAATAAACATTAATATAACAGGGACCATATAACAGCATGGGTTTGTCCATGCTGTGAGGGTTGATGAAAGTGAAATTTACATTGCTTGATGGCCAATGGTGAAACATAAAAAAAAAATACAAGACAAAGCCAGGTTATATAAAGAAACAATTTTTAGTTTTGTCTGCTTTTTGATTTGAGATAGTACAATGGTCTAACCAACAGCTGAAATGTTTTTTCTCTGTTCTTCGGTTTTGAATGCATTCATGGTACAGTATGTACAGAGACTGGCAATTTTATGTTTAATGTGCCCCAAGATGACCTTCAAGTTGTTTGAACATTTCTAGACCTGCATTGTATTGGAGCTCTAGAAATTAAATTATGTATATTGGCTCTGTATATATAGTGTTATATAAATGAAACTTTTACAGTTATTAAATGTTTTTTTTTCACAGGAGGCAAACCTACGCACTACCTCTATTGTGAATCCCTATTTCCCTGTTAACTGCAAAAGAAGCAGATACAAGTGATACAGCCTTGGATTAGGCTTTAATTGAAGACTGATAGTCTCTGTAGGGGACTCCTAATGTCTCCTTGTATTTGACCTAGTGAAAGTTCTGTGTTGCACTTAACACCAACTGTTTCCTACAGCAAATGTCTAATAGCAACCCATAGCAATCGTGATTACATTTTTGTAAATGTTCGCATTACCTTTGTAGATAAGTTTAAAAAATACAACTTGTCTTACATGTTCTAGGCATGTGCTATGTTCAGTTGATAATAAGGGTAGACTTGGGGTTAATGTTCTTAATTGGCTTCTGAAGAC